GGAAAGAGGTAAGGGTTCTCTAAATTCTAACAGGATACTGATGTAGGATATGAGGGGAGGGGACTCAGGGCTGTGGTAGGGATTCCGTGGGTACTGAAGAATCAGACCCGTCATCTCCTGCCCAGATATGCTTCTGGTGGGGCCAGATGTGGAACTGGATGGGCAAGGGGCTAGGGGAACCGCCAGAACATGTACACTGAGAAGGGCATTCCTCTAGAGAATGAGTGGCTTCCTGAGCCAAACAGGACCCACAAAATATGGATCCCCAAGACAGAGAGAGGTCCAGGAGTCCCAGCTCCCTGAAAATCTCCCCACCTGAAGTGAAGATCTGAAGTACCTGGGATAGATAAGGGAGCAGAAGAGAAAGACTTCCCTGAAACACACGTTGACTTTCTACAGAGTTAAACTGAGGGCTGGGGTGCTATTCCCATTCACAGGGCAGACCTGCAGCCTATCCCTGGAGATGGGAGAGGCAAGCTGGCAGGCTCAGGAGTCACCCTACCCCCACCCTGCTTGAGTTGAGAGAAAGGGGTCTGCACTTACCCATGAAGCCTCTTCTCTCCCTCCTGGAGCTGGATCTACAGTGATGCTCCCAGAGACTGCTCCTTAAATAGGGCCCACCCCAGCCAACTCCCGCCCCCGCCCCATCCTGGCTCTTCTGAGAAAGGAGGAAGGTGTGGGAGGGCCAGGCACCCTGCCCAGAGAGCCCTTGCTGACCTCAAGCAAGAGTGGGGACCCCCCCTCTTCCCCCCCACCCCATCTTTCAAAGTGTTCCCTTCCTCACCTCAGTCTCTGAGTCCCTCCCACCCCTTGAGACCAGCCAGCTGGGTTCTTTCTCTGCTCTTAATGTCTGGGAAATCTGCTCTTTATGCCTAATTCAAGCCCAATTTCCTCATTCTGAGGTTGGATGATGGGGAATTGATGTGCTAGGGGAAGCTTCAGCGCAGGCTTCTAGCTTCTCCCATCAGCTCAGGAGACCCAGCATCTGTTGCAGAATTCATTTGACGGAATGTGGAGAGAGGAGGTATCGCTATACCTCCTTTCACCTCATGTAGCTTCAAGCACCATCCAAAGCATAAGTGGAGTTTGTTCCCATCCTGTGGAGAGAGATTGAGACCTGAGGGGACAGCAAATCAGGAGCTTAAGGTCCAGCCTGCTATGGAATGTCAAGAAGGACAAGTGATCCCTGGATCCCCTGCCTTACAGTTTGTGTGTGTCCTTGTGCCTGTGGTGGTCCCTCTCCTCGGCCCACTCTCTGTCCTCTGACTCCAAAACCTAACCCTTGCTGCACAGAGTTGAGACTCTCCAGGGTCTGAACAGGGAATTGAGGGGCTCCCTCTAAATGGTCTTTCCCATCGTCCTTCCCTGAAAGCTCAGGAAGTTCTTTCCCATGATAATATGTAGCTACATCCAACTGCTATTCAAGAAACAGGCCGTGGGGGAGGGGGAATGGTATGCCTCAGGGACGGCCACAAGGGTCCTGAGCCAGGACTAGGGACAGCTCTTCTGAGGAAACCTGAAAATTCCTGTAACGGGGCTGGTAGGGAGAGAAGAGTCATCATCAGTATTGTGCAACGGAGGGGGAGGGAGGATAGGGGACTGGGGGAGGGGAGCGATGGCCAAGTCTTTAGAGGGCTGGCAGCTATCCATCACCCCTTTTCCAGGGGCTTGCTTGGCCAGAGTTGAAAGTGGCTGTCACCCCACCCCTCATTAACCCCAGCAGCACCAGGCTGGCAGCAGCAGTGCGTTTATGGGAGACGCGTCGCCAAAGGTGCTCCCTCCTTCTTCCCTCCCCTTTCCTGCCCCCTCTCCCCAGCAGCCAACATCTTGCTCTCTTTGAGGCCAGACGATCCTGGTGGGGAGGTGGGAGGCTGCTGTGAGGGACAGGACTGGAAGAGGGAGCAGTGATCCCCTTTTTCTCCATATTTTGGCACTGCCTCAGTCCTTAGGGAAGAGAGGATGGGACTTTCTACCTTGGACTGTGAGCTCCTGTGGATAGGGACAATCTCTGGGTCCCCAGCGCCCTACAAGGGGACTAGCCCTGAAAAGAGGCTCATCCCTGCTGATCGGGGATGGGAGAGTTCATCCTTGAATGGAACTCCTTCCCTCATGACCCATTAAAGGGTTCTTGGGAAGGGAAGGCTATGGGCTTCCCCACAGGGTAGCACCGGGAAGCTCCGTAGCAGGAAGAGAAAGAGGAAGCTGAGGCCTTACAGGGTACTGGAGTTCAGCCGTCCTGTCCTAAATGAGAAGCCCTGCCAACTCGGGCATGAAGTTACTGGGGGTGGGCATGGCCTGCAGGCCGTCCTGGATCTGTGCTCAGGTGGATCCTCGCTCAGAGCACCTGCTGCCCCCCCTTCCCCATCCAAACCAGGCTCCAGGTCCCAGGACCCAGGCCCTGTAACCCACACTAATCTTGGGGAAACATCGCTGTTAAGAGAATACAAAGGAGAGATAGACATGGCGGGTAAGTCAGCACCTAAGAGTTGTTGGGTGACAGGGTTTGAATATGGACTGGACACGAAGGGGGAGAGACACGGGATTTGGGGAAGAACACTGGGTCTAGGAGTAGGGCCACCAGAACCAACCAGGGAGAGACAAGGGCGGGGTGGGGGTGGGGAAGCTACAGGATTTGAGGGCGGAGACTTGGGGGCGAGGAAATAAGACGAATGGGAAGACACCGGGTGGGGTCAAAATGTTCTCCCGTCTGGGCAGACGGCAAGGCACTAGGAGGGGATACTGTCAGTCACTGAGACCCCACCCACTGGCTGGACCTCCACGCCTAACTCCTCCCTACTCTCAACAAAAATGGCCGCCGCGGGATCTCGCCCAAAGCTCTGAGACAAATGAGAATGGTAGCAGGAGCCCCGCCCAGTTGTGGGCATGCCCTTCTTAAAAATGGCTACCACAGCGCTTCTGGAAAGAAACCGCTCTGGGCCCCGCCTTTGATCTCGTTGGTAGGGCTGGGGGATGAGAGCTGCACAGCGCGGGACAAGTCGCCGGCGGCGCCCGACGGAGCAGGTGATTTCCCCTCCAGGCCCCGGCCCAGGGCTAAGAGAGTCGCGGAGAGCGTTGACCCAGGGTACCCGTCCTGTGTGTCTCCCCACGGTACCCCCGGGGCCCGCCGGAACCCCATCTCTGATTCTCGCCGTGGCCTGTATCAAGGCACATCCTAGCTTGCTCAGGCCTCCCTCGTCATGTGTCCCTCAGGGCCGCAACCGCATCCCTGTGCCCTCGGGCCCACTATTCTGGATGCTTATGGGTACCCCGCTAGCTCGTTTAGGGAGCTCCTGCTTCAGGGGTCGGCCATCATCATGGTCCCACTTCCTGTATTCCCGCCTCCCCCTCTTTGTGATCCTGCCTAACTTTGGATGCCGGAATCCCTTGTGTACCCATCGGTGTCCTTGGCTCCTCTAAGACCTGACTTGGGGGTCAGGGTACAATGATGTGCTCTGGAACCTACGTTATGGGACTAGGGCCCCAGGAGCTGGGCTTCGTAGGCTGGGAGAAGCAGTGAAGACCTCGTTTCTAGACCCTCTTGAGTGCCCCAGACTTCTTCCACTCTGCTTCCCAGGATTCCTCCTCCCACATGGCCTTCTGCTCTCCCTCCACCTTGGGCATCTCCCCACCTCAAGGGAGCAACATGGTACTCCTTCCCCCAGTCTCACTTAAACTTGTCCAGGGGGGTTTTATGGAACATCTGGAAAGTCCAGGCCTGTGCTTGGTCCTGGGGATGCTCTCAGGCCAGCTGGGGGCAGTGAGGATGCGGCAGTCAGGGTTGGCCCCAGGGAGGAAGTGAGGCCTGCAGAGTGAGAGGCAAAGGGAAAGACATTCTGAATGGGGAGAATGGTGTGAGCAAAGATTCTGAGGTAGGCAAGAGGGCCAGCCAAGCAGGAGAGGATCAGATTACAGGCTGGGGACTGACCATTTGCATCATGAAAGGTGGTATAGTGTAGTGGTTAACAATGAGCCAGACCGCCTGGGTGTAAATCTGCCATTAAATCTGCCATTAACTTACTGTGTGACCCTGGGCAAGTTACTTAACCTCTCAGTGCCTCCATTTCCTTTTGGGTAAATGGGATAATATCAATATGATATATTAGTATCTATATATATTTGTATCTATGTGTTAAGGTAATTGTGAGGATTAGGTAAGTTAATACATGTAAAGTGCATAGAACAATCCCTGATAGATTGTAAGCAGTCAGTAAATGCTAAATATTTTTACCTTCATCAGAGGTGTTTAAACAGGACTCACGACAGGATGACAATCATATTTCATGGGTGCAGCTAACCATTGAACCCTTATTTGGAGCCCCCAGGAAGTAATGGGGTTCTGTGGGCTATATCCAGAATTTGAAAAGTCTCAGGGAAATCATCTTCTTACCCTGGAGAAGGCTGGCTGCTCAGGCTGCAGCTTCCCCAGCTTAGGGACTATGGAGGAGAAATATTAGGAGAGGCCTCTGGGTAGGAAAGAGATGCTGAGGAAGCCTAGAGGGATGGAGAAGGGTGAAAAAGAAGTGGCAAGCTTTGAAGGCTGGGTGAAGTTTGGGCAGCCCAAGAACAGGAGGAAGGGGGATGTTCCATTAGGAGACAAGCTAGAGCAAAAGCTCAGGGCAGGAAGACTTTTTTATTTGGGCACAGTGTGTGTGTGCAGGTGTTTCCTAATGATAACTCCCTGGCTCTTGGACCTCGGTTAGAAACCTAGGGGCATCAGACACATCCCTGAGAACTTCTTCCCTAGGAGCTTCCATGCAGCATCCGTGGACTTCTGTCCCAGCAGAGTTTGGCAGGCAACTGCTAGCAGCCAGGATTGGTATAACCCAGGGTGGATGTAGGTCTCCATAGGGGGCTGACTTCTTGGGGGAGCTGCATGATGGGATCTGGTATGCCCTGTCTGAGCAGTTCTCTTCCTCCCCAGGGCCTATGCAAGGGTCTGGAGCAAGAGGCTAGCCTCCCCTGGTAGGTTAGGGCTTCTCAGTTCTGCTATCCTAAGCGACCCCTGTGCTGTCACAGCAACTCTGTGTTACCAGTCAGGGGACAAGGGAACTTCGATAATAGATGGTAGCCCTATCTCAACCCAATTGGAGGTCTTGACATCTCCCCATCCCTTGGAGTAGCCCCTAGAATATACACTCATTCAACTAGGTGTCCTGGATTTATCTCCTGACTACCACAGTCAAGCCAGGTGACTTTGGGCAAGTCATTAAACCCACTCAGCTTCAATCTCTTCGTTTCTAAAGTGGGGGGGGCGGGTAACTGTTTATTGAGTGTCTACTTCACAGAAGACACTGAGTGTACATTGATGAATAAGCCAGGAGTGTAGTCTCTGCCCTCATGAAACATGTGGAAGAAACATTAAACTTTGCCCCAATAATGTTTTGATTATAGCTGTAAAAGGTGCTGCTAAGTAAGGAAAAGTGTAGTCTGCAATGAGGGTGTAAGATAGAGGAGACCAAACCAGTTCTAAAGGGTCAGGGGAGCATCCCTTGAAGGAAATTGTAAACTGAAACCTGAAAGGTGAGAGGAGTTAGCAAGTGAAGGGGTGGAGGTGGCACGTTGCCCAGGCAGAGGAAACAGTTTGTGCAAAGACCCTTGCTGTGAAAAAGCTGGAGTGCTGGCAAGCTGAAAGCAAGCCGGGGTGGAGGGGAGTGATCCCGGGGGTGGGTGGTGCGTGGTGAGGCTGGAGAGATGTAGGCAGGAGTAAGGCCCTGAATTGAGGGCCATAAAAAGAATCTGGACTTAACTGAAGGGAAGCAGGAAATCACTGATAGATTTTAAGCAGAAAAAGTGTGATTTTTTGGTAAATATTGTACAGCCATGATCTTTGTAGAGAATAGGTTGTTGAGGGAAAGATGGTAGTGGGGAGAACATTTAGGAAACTCTTGCAGTTAAGGCAAGAGTTGGAGCCAAGTGGGAGTAGAGATGGAGACAAGTAGATATGTTGAGGGATAATGGTCAGGGCATGGTGACTGATTGGATGTGAGAAGGCAAGAGGTAGGATGGTGTCAATGATAATTCCCAGACTTGTGGCAGGAACAGCTGGGTAGGTGGACATGCATATACTGAGATAATTCCCAGACTTGTGGCAGGAACAGCTGGGTACATGGACATGTGTATACTGAGGACAGCCGTGGAGGAATAAAAGACTTGGAAGAATGTCAGTTTGGGACATGTTAAGTCATCCCCACGGAGGTGTCAGAGAGGTAGACGTACAAGTGTGTAGCTCAGAGGAGGAGACTGGACTATAGGATTGGACATTTGGGAATTGGTGACATGGAGTTGGTACAAGAAGATGTGGGCCCAGATGAGATCTTCCAGAGAGAGAGGGTGCAGACTGGGGAGAAAGGAGAAGCAGCTTTGAGCCTGAGCTTTGCTGCCACATTTAGGGGGAAGCAGAGGAGAGGGGGACAGAGAAGGGAGCCTGGGAAGAAATGGCCAGAGAGGTAGAAGAGAAATAGGAGGATGTGATGCCTCCTAGACCAACATTGGTGCTACTTGAAAGGGCAAATATTAGGTGAAACTACAAGAAATTGCCTTTTTCTTTTCTTTTTCAGATCAAAAACAGGTAATATTGGCAAGTTCATATGGTTCAACCTAATGAGACCAAAACCTGAAAAAGTAACTCATGCCCTTAGCCTGAGAAAATTTAGTAGAGCGGAAGCCAGACTGAAGTTGGGGAGAAGTGGATAGAATGGAGAATAATAGGGGAATAGATTCAACAGGACCTGGTGATTGATTGATTGCAGCAGGGGTTGAGAGAGGGTGAAATCATGGGTAACCCCCAAGTTTCAGTTTCGGTAGCTGAGTGAGTCATGTTATCCGGTGAAACAGGAGGAGGTGCCTGTTTGGAGGGTGAGTACACAGATCGGGAGGATATGATGAGTTGGGGGTAGGTGCAGTTTGAGGTGCCCCTGAGTCTTCTGAGTGGGGTAATGAGCTGACATTTGGACTTGTGGGTCTGGAGCAGTCCTTTACCACCTAAATGTTCCTGACTACCAAATACAGACTTTAGGGAGTCAAAAGCATGTAAGTAGGAATGAAATAAGTCAGTAAGTATTTATCGAGCACCTACTAAGTGCAGGCATTCTTCTAGGTGCTAGGGCTATACCAATGGATAAGACAAAGTATACCCCCCTCAAACTCCCTCTTCTTGAAGCTTACATTCTGTGGGGGAGGACAACAGGCAAATAAACATAAAGATAACACGGAGCTGTAGTATATGCTACATAGAAAATAAAGCAGAGTAAGGGATTGGGGAGTATGGGGAATGCCTAATTTTGGTCGGTTAGTCAGGGAAGGTCTCTCTATGTAGGCAACATTTGAGCAGAGCCCTGGCAGAGGTGAGGGGATGAGCCATGTGGATATCTGGAGGAGACAGGTAGAAAGAAACTGGGCAAGTCTGAGGAATAACAAGGAGGCTGCTGGGGCAGGAGTGGAGTTAGCGAGGAGGGAGTGGTGAGGTTGGAGAGGTAAGCAAAGGCCAGATCTTGTAGGGCTCCATAGGCCTTGGGGCGGAGGATGGCAAGTCCTACTTAGATAGGCCCAAGCTGCTGGAAGGGCAAGGACCTGGCAGGAAGAGAGAATTCATGAAAGGCTTCCCCTTCCATCTGGGCCCCAGAGCCAGAAAAGCCCCTTTGTGCAGAGGGTGGGTGGCCCATTCTGGGTGGGGGAATGGCTGTGCTCAGTCCTGAGGCCTGCTCCTTGGGGGGCTGGACAATGGGTCCCTTGTGGTTGGACTTGGGGGCCAAGTGGCCCTCTCAGTGATGGGATTCCTCAGCCAGGAGGCATGTGACCTCAAGACCTTGGCTTCTTCCCAGAGGGTCTAGGCCTACTGCTGGGGAATGGGGTGGGGAGATGGGGAGAGGTCAGGGGGAGGGGGGAGGGAAATGTCCACTCTGGAAACTTTCTCCTGAGACAGTGTCCTGCCCTGTCTCAGGCTGGAGGAGGTGGAGAGATAGGCAGGCAGGGGGCTGTGGCTCTGCTTGAGGGAGTGGGGGAGGGCTGAAGAACTGGAAGCTATGGGCAACATCAACAAATGGTTTCTACAGCAGGGTAGGAGGGAGGAGCTGGCCGCCCCTGGACCTGGTGGGCAGGGGCAGGCAGAAGAGGGCCTGACAAGCCTCTGTCTTGTGTCCCTTCAGAAGAGGAGAGAGCATGGAGCTGGAGAGGATTGTCAGTGCAGCCCTCCTTGCCTTTGTTCAGACACACCTCCCAGAGGCTGACCTCAGGTAGAAGCTTCTCTCCTAGAAGGGTCATGCTGGGGCCAGAGTTGGAGCTGCTGGGCAAGTACTCTGGGCCCTGGCCAATGGAAAGACTGGGGTGGCAAGTACTCAGCCCTATTTCTCAGGTGGAGGAGGGCTGGTTATGATTTGCTGGTATGGCCTTACCTCTCATCCTGTTCCTGTCACCCTTGTTGAACAGATGGGAAACCAAAGCTCTGAGGGGGTCGGGGGGGGTGGGGGGCACCCTTGTTGAACAGATGGGAAACCAAAGCTCTGAGGGGGTCGGGGGGGGGGGGGGGTGGGATAGTCTTCTGGGCTTAAGGCTTGAGGTCTGGCTCCTGGACCCCATGAAGCCCAGGGCTGGAGTCCCAGGCTAGGTGGCAATGCTGGAGGTAACAGGGCTTGTCCTGTCCCCTTGCTGCAGCGGCTTGGATGAGGTCATCTTCTCCTATGTGCTCGGGGTCCTTGAGGACCTGGGCCCCTCAGGCCCATCGGAGGAGAATTTCGATATGGAGGCCTTCACTGAGATGATGGAAGCCTATGTGCCTGGCTTCGCCTACATCCCAAGGTGGGGCCTGGCTGGGACCAAGAGGAGGAGGAGGGCTGGCTGATTGTGGAGGGTGGGCAGAGTTATCCTTTTACCGCCCTCCTTGCCTTTTCAGAGGTACAATAGGGGAAATGATGCGGAAGCTCTCAGGGCAGTTGAGTGGTGCCAGGAACAAAGGTGAGTCTGGGAATCGGGCACTTGGGTGACTCAAACCCCCATCCTCCAAAGCTCTGGCAAACCTGTTGCTCTTCCTGCCTCTTTAAGAGAACCTGAAACCACAGAGCTCTGAGGTCCAAGGTCAGGTATCTGTCTCCCCAGAGCCTCTGCAGCGGCTCAAAGAAGAGACAACGTCTTCTCCGACTGCTGCTGGGGACACCCAAGATGAGGTACTGGTAGAGGAGGGTGCCGACGAGAGAGGGGCCTGGAGGAGGAAGTATTGCCTCTTGTCAACATTCATGCCCACAGGCATCCGGCGCTGAGGAGGAACTGCTGCCAGGAGTGGACGTACTTCTGGAGGTGTTCCCTACCTGTTCGGTGGAGCAGGCCCAGTGGGTGTTGGCCAAAGCTCGAGGGGACTTGGAAGAAGCTGTGCAGATGCTGGTAGAGGGGAAGGAGGAGGGGCCTCCAGCCTGGGATGGCCCCAACCAGGTATCCTCTGCTAGACGGCCCCCCAACCCCATGTAACCTCAGCTATGTTCCACCTTAGTGTTAAGCCCCCGCCCCTAGCCTATCCCCATTTGCTTTTCCTGCTGGTACCCTAGGCCCTAGACAGGCTTCCCCTCTCTGCAGGACCTGCCCAGGCGCCTCAGAGGCCCCCAAAAGGATGAGCTGAAGTCTTTCATCCTGCAGAAGTGAGTCTGGGCTGGGCTGGGCCGGGCCGGGCCGGGCCTTGCCCTTAGAGGGTTTTCCTAGGGTGGCAGGAGCTTCACCCAGCCAAGTTTTTGGCAGGTACATGATGGTGGATAGCGCAGAGGATCAGAAGATTCACCGGCCTATGGCTCCTAAGGAGGTGAGACGGTCGCAGCTCCTAGGGTCGTGGAGTGGGTGCAACTGTCTCCTGCAGAAGCAGGGCACTGGCTTCTGCTACTCACTACCTGATTGCCTGACAGGCTCCCAAGAAGCTGATCCGATACATCGACAACCAGGTAGTGAGCACCAAAGGGGAGCGATTCAAAGATGTGCGGAACCCTGAGGCTGAGGAGATGAAGGCCACATACATCAACCTCAAGCCAGCCAGAAAGTACCGCTTCCACTGAGGCACTCGCCAGACTGCCGGAGCCGTCTAGGCTCAGATCCCAGAGGGATGCAGGAGCCCTACACCTCCACACAGGGCCCGCCGTAACTCCTGTCCCCTGTCTTTCACTCCT